GTCCTATAAGGCATAAAAAGCCATTAAATTCTTATTATAAACATTTTTTTATATCTACTATAGTTTTAAAGATATACAGGGAAATAGGGTAACACTTATCTTCATTCAAGGGCTGTTTCCACCCCGAAGAACCGAAAAAGGGCCAAAAAAATTGCCAGATACTTCTCTTGACGTCCCCTAAAAACCTGCAAAGTTTCAAAAAGATCAGAATTTTCAGGTTACCGAAGTTCCCTTGTGAGCTAAACCCTGCTTCACTATGCTACTAATACAAATTCTTCACGATTTTACAAAAACTCGCAAAACGAAATGACTTAATGCGGCACCTCGTTAAATTCGTCTCAACAAACTATAATATTAAAAACAGAAAAATGTAGCATTCCGTTTAACCGCTTGAGTGCCAAGGAGCAGCTGTCACGCTCCTCGTATTCGACATCGAAAAGTGCCACCGCACCGAGCCACGAAGTGTAAATTTTATTGTATCTCTTATAATCTGTCTACTTTTTTTTATAAAAAATTGAACAAAAATCCTGCACATAATCAATTTTGCCTTTCTTTCGTGATTATTTCCAAACAGTCGTACTCGGTGAAAATGTCGAAACCAAAGTTTTTGGAATCTTTCGACATCAAACGAAAGAAACATGGGCACTTTTCGGTCAGATTTCTGCACTAACCCGTGACACTCAGACGGTTGAAAAAGTAAACTTGATCGTGAAATTTCGCTCACTGCTTCATTCACGAAAAAACTATTTAGACATTATGTCTTCCATCATACCAAACAATTTTTGTAAGAACATTTTCTCGATAGCTTCAGTCCCTTCTGAGATATTTCACCGTGTCTAATTAAAAAAGACACCCTGTAGAAAGTGGGTAATTTATTGTGTAACAGAAAGTTATAGTTTCTTACATATATCAAAGAATAAATGGAAAATACATTTTTATAAGTAAGGTTTATTTCTCGATGATCGCATTCGAATATTTTTTTACTCATGCATACTGTCGAGTACCATTTGTTTAATAATTTCTGCTTGTATTCATATTTGTATAAAAATTGTAATTTACAATAATAGCACACGCTGGAAATAGTCAAGCTTTCATATTTTTTTTTCTGCATAATATACGTAAATTAGGAAATCGTTCTCTTTGGTATTTATTTACAACGAACCTGCAACTGCATCGTCTTATTTTGTTAATGCAACGAAACGTGAACGATAGAAAGGCAGAGGAAATAAGAAAAATGAAATTAATTTTCTTTTAATCTGTCTATTTATTTTCATTCTCTTGTTCCTTTGTTATATACAAAAGAGAATTATTTCCCTTACGCAATAAAAATGTATATGAATTATTTCGTTATTTAAATAATTAAAAATCATTTATCTCTGTAATTTCTTTTTACCTAAATTAAATCGATTTACTTATTCAGCTGTAAGATAGATTTTGAAATAACAGTTTATTATTATTTTACAGAATTTATGTAACATTGCATTTTATATTTTGGAAACCTTTAATATTCAAAAATTTTTAATAAATACATACAACAAATGTACATTACTAATCGAAGAAGTATCTTAATACTGGTTTATAATTGACACATGTTTGGTAATAAAATAAAACTTCATATTTCGCATAAACAATACAAATAGCCCACACACACACACACACATTATCCATGTAATTTTTATTAAAATATGTTAAAGAAGCAATGCGACAGAAATTATTTTACTCAAATTTTTTCTATACCGTTTTTAACATCGTATTCATTATTTTACCTACGCTTAACGTTGCATCTGCCGTTCTACAACGTATCTTAATAAATAAATAAATTTGATCAATTGATACTACACGTTTTACATATAAAATGGTTATAAATATAAACGATCTAACAAAAATTCGTAAAAATGCAAAATCCCAATTTTAATCTAAAGAGTAAATAACAAATCAATCGACGTCCTACTTAAAAACAATTCTTATTAAAATGTCAATTTCGCTCGGAGTCAAAGGGTTTCGGGAAATGAACTTGTCACAGAAGGAAATGGAAGAATTTCATTTAACACGATAAATCGAATCCTGGCGACGAAACGATAGACCCGCTACGTAGGTAACGAGCTTTCTCGTCACAGAGTAATCCTGTTATCCGATAGATCACCGACAACAAGATCAAACGGGCCACCCCAAAGCAGCTTAAGAAGGGCGAAACGGTGGTCGTCGACAGGGGACTTTACGCATTCCCCGCAAAATCAGGGAAGCAATTCGCAGCTTGTCAGTAGCAGGTAAGCGAGAATAGATATTATTAACGAATGAATGCGTATTTGCCTGCTTTCGTGATTTTCCTCTTATTTAAGCACCCACTCGAGTTGAACTTTCTCAATGCACTTTTTCGCTTCTTTGAGTGTGTTCTTCTAATATGTTACGTGACGATCGAACGTGCTTTTTCTTCAAAGTAAACGATAAACGAACTCGATATTTCATCGTTACACTGTGAGCAATTATTACAACTAGAAACAAAACGATTAAAGGATACTGTGAATACACGAGGGTCATTCGATAAGCAAAGAGACAGACGGCTGCTGTTTTAATATGGTTTATTCGATGAATTTCACAATTTACCTATTTTTCAACATAATCCCTTGTAACAATTTTACTCTTGTCCCATCACTCTGCTAGCTTGTTTATGCCAGTAGCAAAGAATTTTTTGTCTTGCTGTTTGAGCTAGTTTTGCACATTGGTCTTCACCTTTCCGTTGCTGTCAAACTTCATTGCACAAATCTGATGGGGCAAGATCTGGACTTAAACTAACTAATATTTCAATTTTTCCAATTTTTTATACGTATGCTGAAATTTTTGTCAAACAGCTGGTTTAAATTGATGAACCAAAAAAAGAAAAGTAAAAAAAGCTATCGTACTTCTTATTTAGATATTTTTTCGAACGACCTTCGTAGAAAGATATTTTAAAATCCTGCTATTTGAATACAATGATACATGCGTAAAATAAAAATGTTTAAATTTAGTCTCGGTCTTAGTTCAAACATGTTACGACAGAAATCTGCATTATCAGTAAACACATTTCACCGATTAAATTTCTGCAATGAATTGTCAATATGCAATCACTTGCAACAATCCAAACAAGTCGAAAAGTAAACGTAATCCACCGATGAACAGAGAGAGTTCACAATCAACAGAGCAACGAACTATCGATTATGTCTCGCGACGTAAATTCACTTCACAGCTCATTAATCGTCAAAAGCGAGCAACAGTCTCCCCGTTTGCTTCCTATTCAGTGGAGCTTCGCTTTGGTGGTAACTGAATCGAGGGAACGCGACCGGAAGTATAATGCATAATTCCCCTCGTCGTGAGGGAGAACGCGCAAATCGAGCACAGAGAAAAAAAGGAAAGAAACAAAGCACGTTTGCTCCGTCACGATACTGTCGTTACCCTTTTTTCTTTCTCTTACAATTTTTTTTTTTTTCTCTTTTCGTTTTGCACCGCATGGTTTTCGTTTGCATTTTCGTTCATTATAGATTGTCAGCCTCCACCAAGTCTCTGTTCAACCTCTTCAAGCCTCCGGCGCTGAACAACGTGAAACACGGGTAAATAAAAGACTTCTTTTCTTCGATTTTTACTTTTTAAACGAACGAGCATTCATCTCTGCAACCGGCAATGGGCAAGTTTTTCGACCGGCTTCCAGATGCACTCTTCCTTTAACCACTTTCAGGTGAAAGACAAGAGACACGATAATTTTTCGTTCGCGCGTCACTTCTCTTGCGGCTTTTCTGCTATGTAACTGCTAGTAATTATGTAGGGTGGTAGGACCGGGCAGATGGTGATTCTGCGTGCAGAAATATATTGAAAATATGGAATAAATTTCTTTCGCGAAAAGCGTAGTTTTCGAGGAAATTGAATTTGAAGATTCGTTGGGTACGCGTGCCCTTGACTATTCCTCCATTTAACGGATTTCGGTGCAAATTGTTGCTTCTGCTCGTACGTTGATATTGTTCGGGTCGCGTAATGTTCGATGCTTAATTGCCGAACCGGTACTTGATTTATTCAGTGTTTTATTTGCAACAGAGTGATACTTGAGGTGATGTCGCCACGAGACTATCAAAATACTAATTTTCGTAAGACCAACTGCCAAGACTTCCAAAAAAGGACGCGCTTCTGCCTCGTTTCCTTAGTTTTATCCGCTCGGCCAGTTGCTGATCGGTGGCCGATTTCTTCTGGGGGTTGTAGGTGCTGACTCCTCATTGGAGGAGGTTGTTTAGGTGGGACGCAGCTCTTTCCAAGGAAAGGGGATTGTTGCTTAACATTAGAAAACCCCCATTTTTGGGTTTTTCCCAGGGGTTGCCGCGTAATTTTTCACCGCGTACGTGACCTCTCCACGGAGGTACGGTACGCGCGAGAGGACCGGTACCTCGGTCTGGCGGCCAAGTGTAATTGAACAAGTTTATGACGATAATCCGGCAGACCGAGGGTTCGTCGCGATTTCTTGCGAGGCAACAGATATACAGAGGTAATGTCACGCAAGTGTAATTGAACAAGTGTATGACGATAATCCGGCAGACCGAGGGTTCGTCGCGATTTCTTGCAAGGCAACAGATATACAGAGGTAATGTCACATTTTGCAAAGAAATAGTTTAGGCAAAAGTAAATTTTCTGCAGCTAAAGGAAAGAAACATACGAGGTTTCTAGGGTGTTTGGCGCCTTTATGCAAGAATTTATATGGCGCCTTAGAATTATCGTTACCATAATGTTTAGCATTAATTGGTTACTTGTAACTGTGTCGTAACTTGTGATTCACGCAAAAAACGCAGACACCACTGATGTGACTCGTGACATTTATAAACAATACAAAATTAAAAAATTCTCCTTCTGCGTCCGAATAATTAAAGCCTCGAAACGCTATGGCATCAGTAAACGATTTTCTGATTCAAAGAACACGGATTTACATGCGTCATGAAGAACGTCACTTTCAACAATTGGTTCAATAATGTACATTTCAATTAAGAATAACGTTAATAAATGTATTGTCAGTGTTTAATGTGCCATTGACATCGCTCGTTAATACGAATATAAAACTGAGAAATAGTCAAGTGCAAGCGTATTCGACGAATTCTTAAATTCAGTTTTTTTCGAAAACTAAGTAGGTGTATTATGAAAAAATGGTATTTTATATTTTATGTTTATTTCTACGTGTAGAATCACCACCTACCCGGTTGTTTAATCACAGAACGTTTTAACATTTACTGCGTGCATAATGCAAATCGAATTTTATGAAGCTTCATACAAAACAGTGTTTCCCAACATTTTTTGGAGCATGCTCAACGCCTCAAAGATCGTAATGCCTCCTCTAGCATAATAGTCGACCAAGTTCAGAAAAAGTACAACATAAATAGGTACTTCAACTGAAAAAGGGACATACAGTGGAGGACAAAAGTATATATACACCCTATAAAATGGAACAACTTTTTTAAAATTAGGCGATGCCTCCTCTAGCATAATAGTCGACCAAGTTCAGAAAAAGTACAACATAAATAGGTACTTCAAAAGGGACATACAGTGGAGGAAAAAAGTATATATACACCCTATAAAATGGAATAACTTTTTTAAAATTAGGCGAAACGACTTGAGTTTTTTTGAGAAGTTAGAAAGATTAGTTTACTAGATGATGTGTAAAAAATTTTTTGAAAAAACTGCAATTAGTCGGAATCACGGAGAAAATAGCGAAGGTCGTTTTTACAACTTTTTTATTTGAGCTCGTAATGAAAATTTAAAAAATACGTTTTGTAGATCTATGTCAATTATACACACGCTGAAAATTTCATCGAAATCGGTGGATGGAGAAACAAGCGACAGGCATCGAAAGATGTAAGAATCTGCAGATTTATTACAGTTCCAGGCTGAAAGTCGTGAAGTAGTGCGATTTTTACAATCTTTAACCGTTTGTAGCTCATAGCAACGTTAACTGATTTCGATGAAATTTTCAGCATGTGTATAATTGACATAGATCTACAAAACGTATTTTTTAAATTTTCCTTACGAGCTCAGATGAAAAAGTTGTAAACAGTGACCTTTACAATTTTCTTCGTGATTCCCACAAATTGCAATACTTTCAAAAAATTTTACACACGTCATCTAGTAAACTAATCTTTCGAAGTTCTCAAAAAAACTCAAGTCGTTTGGCCCAATTTTAAAACTGTTATTCCGTTTTATAGGGTGTATGAATACTTTTGTCCTCCACTGTAGGTAAAATTGTTTTTAATTTGACTTTCTTCGATGAATATAAATTACATGTTACATTTTGTATAGAAATCAAACTCAACTCGGGAAAATAATCGATAATTTATCGCCTACAATGGTGATTTTTTGATTACATCGGTGAAGAGGTGACAATTGCTACCTAAATTACCCAAATTGCTCAAATTATTCACGCCCCACGTTGGAAAACACTGATATCGAACTAAATGAATCAAAAATATTGGACAATTTTTTTTCAACTTTCGATAATGAAATCGTCTTTCAAATCTGGGGGTTACGAAATTACTAATGAAAATAGCGCAGAAATTGATAAAGATAGAAGAAAGTGGTAACTGCAAAACTTGCTTGGTTTTGCACGAACAATAATTCGATGCCAGAAAAATTTATGCAAAATCATAAATGACGTCACTTTATCTGCAAATGTCATATCTTTGTAAATATGTTTTATACGATACTGTTCGTTTGAAAAAAATGTAATTCGTATAAGCAACAATATAATACAATTATAAGT